TGTGTGCCCAAGAACATAAACTAATAATTCTTTTAAATGCATTAGTCTCTTAAATTATGTAGAAAACAAGATTTAGAGTTATAAACCAAAGCTACAATAATACTTGCTTTTAGACTAGTAATTTTTTTTCTTAATTGTATTAATCTCTTAATTCATGTGGAAAATAGTACAGTTACAAACCAATGTTACAATAACACTAGCTTTCATAATTGCTCATCTATTTAACTCTATTGAGATCTTTACTTCTCCATGTAGGTTTGAGTCCCTATCCAGTGTCCTCTCATTGCATCTTGCAGGACTCTCTTGAGCATTTCTTGCAGGGCAGGTTTAGTGGAAATGAAATCCATCAGCTTTCATTTGTCTGGTAGTGTCTTAATTCCTCCCTCACTTTTGCAGGACAGTTTTGCCAGTATAGGATTTTTGGTTGGTACAGTTTTTTTCTTTTAGCACTTTGAATACATTGACCCATTGCCTTCTGGCCTCCAAAGTTTCTGGTGAGAAATTTGCTTATAATCTTATTGAAGATCCCCTGTGTGTGATGATTTGCTTCTCTCTTGCTGATTTCAACGGTCTCTCTTTGTGTTTGGTTTTTGAAAGTTTGATTATAATGTGGATATATATACTCTGGATATAATATGTGGATATATATAATGTATATATATATAATGTATATATATAATATATATACTGTGGACATATATAGTGTGGATATATATAATGTGGATCTCTTTGAGTTCCTCTCACTTGGAGTTTGTTGAGCTTCTTGGATATTTATGTTCATGTCTTTCATCAAATTTAGGAAGTTTGCAGCCATTATTTCTTCAAATATCCTCTCTGCTCCTTTCTCTCTTCTGGGACTCCCACAGTGTGTTTGTTGGCCTATTGATGGTGTCACATAAGCCCATTAGGCTCTGCTCATTTTTCCTCAATCTTTTTCTTTCTGTTCCTCAGAATCAATAATTTCTATTGTCCTATCTTTAAGTTTGCTGATTCTTTTTTCTGCCTGCTCAAATCTGCCTTTGAGTCACTCTAATGAATTTTTCATTTCAGTTATTTTACTTCTCAGCTCCAGAATTTCTTTTTGATTTCTTTTCAAGTTCTCTATCTCTTTGTTGACATTTCCATTTTGTTCATACATCATTTTCTTGACTTTTTCCACATTTTCCTTTCGTTATTTGAGCATCTTTAAAACACTTGTTTTAAAGTCTTTGTCTCGGGCTGGCCCCATGGCTTAGCAGTTAAGTGTCCACACTCCACTACTGGCAGCCCGGGTTCGGCTCCTGGGCGCGCACCGACGCACCGCTTCTCCAGCCATGCTGAGGCCGCGTCCCACATACAGCAACTAGAAGGATGTGCAACTATGACATACAACTATCTACTGGGGCTTTGGGGGGAAAAAAAAGGAGGAGGATTGGCAATAGATGTTAGCTCAGAGCCGGTCTTCCTCAGCAAAAAGAGGAGGATTAGCATGGATGTTAGCTCAGGGCTGATCTTCCTCACACACACACAAAAAAATTAAAAAAAAAATAAAGTCTTTGTCTAGTACATCTGCCATTAGATCTTTGTCAAGGACAGTTTCTCTTGATTTATTTTGTTTTCCCTTGAATGAGCCATACTTTCCTGTTTCTTTGTGTGCCTTGTGATTTTTTGTTGAAGACTAGACATTTGAATCTAATAATGTGGTAACTCTGGAAATCATGTTCTCCCCCATCCCCAGGATTTGCTGGGTTTTTTATTGTTTTGATTTATTTATTTATTTTTACCGTTGTAGGCTGTCTCTGTGCTGAGGGTCCCCTTGAAGTGTAAACTAAATCTCCTCTCAGGGCTTTTCTGAGCCTTTCTCTCAGCATGCCCAGTCATTTTGTAATTTTCCCCATATATACAGTTGTTTTTGAATGTCCTAGGCTAATGTCTGGCTGCCAAAAAGAAAAAAAGGGAAAAATGAAGTGGGGGTGGGTGGGGGAAGGGTGCTGGCCCTTTAACACCCCTAGAAAGCATTTCAGCTGGTGGGGAAGGGGCCTTGTACAATGGGACGAGGTGCAACAATGGCTTCCTGCCTCTCTGTCTGCACCTCTGTGATGAGAAGCAGCAGTCAGTGATCACAGCACAGATCCCAAATATTTGGAGGACAGGGTCCTTTTTGCCCACCTTGGCTCCTGCAGTCTGTGTACAGGCTGCTCCAGGAACATGTGCTCAGCTGCCTGCCAAGTGGCTGTGAGTAGGGGATGGGGGGCTGCTACTGTGCTAAGAGCTGAAATTGACCAAAATTAACAAGTCTTTCCCTGGAAGTGCAAGCCTTTGATAGACCCCAGAGTTCCAAAATAGTTACATCTGTCAGATTCTCCCAGTACAGTGTTGTCTAGGTGAGGAGATAGATTCCTGGTGCTTCCTACACCGCCATCTTCACAGAATCTTCTTTTTGCACCAACTCTGTGAAGTAGGAAATATTTTACAAATGATGGAACCGGGCCTCAGAGATATTAAGTACCCAAGCTGGTATTACATAGCTGGTAACTGGTAGAGCTGGGATTAGGAGCCCATTTATTCTGATTCTATAGCATGTATGCTTGACCTTTACTCTAGGTTGTGTCTTAAGGTGCAGGGGGTTCTGCAAGAGGCTCCTCTCTTCGTTCTACCTGGTGCAGACCAAGGTCCGCCTTCCTCTGTCAGTCCTCTCAGCCGAAGGTGGAGAGGGATGAGCAGTTCAAGACTGGTTTCTCTCCTGTGGCTCTCAAGGAGGCAGCGTGGGGCAGTGCAAAAAGTCCTGTGAAGTTAGGAGAGACTTAAGTGACACTGAGTTGCCATTCTCAAGGCGTGTGACCTGTGCAAATCACGCAGTTACCTCAGCGATGAAAAAGACGTTAATTACCTTAAATCATCTCCAAGGTCTCTTTTTATTCTAGGATTCTAGGAGATGCCAACACTAAGACTGATCAAAAATAAATTTCCCCAGGAAGCTAGAAAGCCTGTATGAGTAGACAAAGTGTTTCACATGTATGTATCTATATCTATATCTATATCTATATCTATATCTATATCTATATCTATCTCTATCTCTATCTCTATCTCTATCTATCTATCATCTATCTATCTATCTATCTATCTATCTATCTATCTATCTACGCTTAAAGCAGGGACTAAAGGAAACACATGCAGTCAATGCATCATGTACATATAATCTGTATCTCTGTTTCCTTCGTGTCTTATCTATATCTCTATACAGCACCACTATTTATTTATTACCTTCTTACTATGTGCTGGACACTGTGTTAACTCCTTGACATTCATCCCTTTATTGTCCTCTTACAAGGATGACACAAGCTGCATTTCACAGTTGCTTTGGGGATGGAAGGCAGCTGCTATGGCAGCACCTAGGGTTCTAGAAACTGGGTATCTAAGAGCTAAAGCCCTTATTGTAAGGTTGCTCCAACCCTCCAAAGGAGGAGCAAGCATTTTAGTTCCCCCTTCCCACCCTCCCCACACACCCAAATCGTCTTCTTTTGCTTAGCTTTGAGAAGGCAGAGGTTTTCCCTTTGTCTTAAGATAGAAGGGCACACCTTAGGTTTGCATTCCCAGAACCAATTTTACTATTTACACTGCTGTTTCAGATTCTAATTAGAAAGGAATTTTTGTGCAATCCAAAGAGAAGGGGGAAAATAGAATTTAAAGAAAACACAAAAGTTGAGAACGTTGAAAGCTATGTAGTTGATTGTACTTCTATGAACAGAATTTATTGAATTTTGGGAAGTTCATCCTTGATTTGTATTTCCTTTCTAGTCATTTGTACTTGTTGCTCAAACATCCACCACTCCAGCTTTTTTCTCCTCCTCAAAATTTCCTATAATTTTGCTTTGAGGCAATGACTCACCAAAACCAGAGGAATGTATACAAGCAAGTTGAAACACAATTTTCTGGACAAGAGAATCATCTTTAATGGATGCTGTAAGAATTGTTTCAGGAATTAAGACGAGGAGTTCATAAATAAAGGAAACATCCTTTTATTTTTAAAGAAAAGCAATATTATTGGTAAAGATCCTTGGTCTTCTAGCAATGTGAAATTATCATGCAGCAGCTGAGCCACCTGAAGGATATAGAAATAGATTTCCACCGTGATCTAGCTTCTGAAGACTGGGAGATATGGTTCTGTGACATCTGGACAACTAGAATGCAGGGATGGTGTGGAACAATTGGTACCACTGCCATCCCCTCACCCTCCAGCATGGTCCTCTGTGATCTCTTTCCCGAACATCTAAGTTGTAGACGAAGTGGGTAAAGTACGTAGCATCAAGGAGTTTGCTCTTTCTCAGGGAATTTTGTTTTTAGTAATTCCCTATCACGGTTACATCTTTACAAAACAGAGGTGAAATTCATCTGTAGGATTTTATTTCATTGAAATGCTGAATATTTAGTTTTGGAATGGGAAGGAATTTTGAAGAGAACCAGTATTCTTCCCTGGCAGAGCAGAAGAATCGGAGGTCACTACTGTATTGATCAGCAGCGTATATTATAGTAAGGCCACTATGGGCCTGTTAGTGGCCTTGGGTCACATCTACTGCTAGGACTGTCTCCTATTTAAGATCACAGGTTCTAGAGGCTGCTTTCTTTTACCTGTATGTCTCGGGTGAATCCACTGCCAAAAAACTTTAAGACAAAAGTTGCCTCCTCCAAGCCCAGCCTTCTCCTGATTTTCAGTTCTATATGTTACTCTTCACATTAGTGATTTGGGCACTGTCTAGTGGATGTATGGAATGTTCATCTACACATTTATTAAGTTTGGAACCAATGTAATCTAGAGTGTCATAGCTCCCAGCTGTTTCAGAATGTAGTACACTATAGTAGGAAGTATGTAAGCTTTGGAGGCAGGGAGGTCTGCGTTCAAATCCCAATAGGCGTTTACTTGCCTAACACTGTGGATGTGTTTTTTAATCTGAGTTTAAATCTGAGTTATACTTCTTCCCTGTATAGAGTAAAACTTGCTTTATAATATAAGGCAGCTGGGAGGACTAAAATAACATATGTAAACCCCACACAGTATAGTGCTTCAAGAGGTGGTGAATATTAATATGGTATTTGTTAGCAGCAGAGCTCCATAATCTTTTGTGCATGAAATACAAAGAAAACAAGTAGCACTGGTAACAACACATTTATTTCCGTACCCTGTTGTGTGACCGGGAGGTGGTTTTCACTTTCCAATGATTGAATTAGGTTATAACAATTAAAATTCCAGAAGGTAAACTAATAATTTATCGTTGCTCATGAGCATAAGTAAACAGACAAGGTACCACATAAAGGAATTTTCAACACTTCTAAACTTTTGGTATAGCTTTGAATATGGAAGAGTAGACTTTGGTAATGGACCTGACAAATTACCAATATGCTTCTAAATCCCATGGTTCTCTTGACACCCAACAGGAAAAATCTGGATTTAATTTCTGAATTTCAGAAATTTGACAAAGATTCTTAGGAAGCTGGAAAAGGCCAACATTACTTAAGCCTATCATATTTATCACGCATCTAAATGTATTGCTATTAAAAATAAAATCATGGTAGGCAGCAGTCAACCAATTGCTAGTTTCATTTTGTAGATTACTTCAGCATTTCTTGAAAATAACTCACTTCAGATGGCAGGTTATAGAAGTTTCTTATTTTTAGGTAGTTTTAACTTATTAACCTTTTGTGGACTAAAGGAATCCAGATAGATCCCAAGTCAAATAATTGGCTGGTGTATCAAATTGGATTTTATATTAGAAACAGCCATGTCCAAGAGACTGCATCATACAAGACATTTCTTTTCAAAATGCCTTTTATTCCTGGCTTCAAATCTTAACTTACAGCATATGCTATTTTTAGAGGGTTTGTTAACTGTTAACAAATGGGTAGTCATTGCCAGAGCAGGATATAAGAATGTGCTGATCACCAAGTATGACATTTTACTTTACATTAAATTAAAATTATATATTGTTGGAAATAGACAAGATAGGGAGTTCCTAGATCCTAGAAAATATTATGGCTAAGGAAATAGAGAACTCAAAAAAGAACTCCACCTCCAAGAAACTAATTCAGTATAGCAAAATAGAATTAAGTGCCCTGTCTTAGGAAAAAGTTTATTAATAATAAGGAAGAACCGGGACATCATACATCGTTTCTTTGGAGATTAAAGTGCAGGCTATGCAATGGCATATAAAATAATGCATAAAATAGTGCAATCTTAAGGTGCCATTATTTTTATTACACATAGCCTATGTTCATATGTCCATTTCCTCTTAAAAATCCCACTGTAGTGACACCTTTTAGCTTATTTATTTAGGCATTACTTATACTCTGTTTTACCCACCTTTGGGGCTACATAGAATATTTTAACATTTTAACAAGTAGAATAATAGCGCATACATCTTGAAACTACTAAGTAGAGATTAAGGCAAGCCCCGGTAAAGTTCAGTACTCCAAAAAACACGTTTTACAAAACAAAGTTGCTTCCAAAACCAGTGGCTTTAGACCTGATGGCACCCCAATTGTTTTCAAAATAGTATGATTACTCTCAATACATTTGTGTTTGCCCCATTATTTCCAGGCTCTGTACATCAAGAGAAGCTTGAAAAACAATAGGTCCTATAACCTCATGTTCTGAAGTAATTCATATTTATCAAAGCCAAGCCAAGTCCATGTGGGAGATAAGCAGAGGACCCTGTTGGGGTGAGGGGGGCAGTCCTCTTCATTTCTTATATATGCCTTTTCACATTTTTATCTGTGTCTGTAGTGTTGTACCATAATCAATTTATACGTGGGAATGACCCATTAAAACAGAGAAGTCTCCTCTGAAAGAGAGTCAAGGAAGATGACGAGAATACTTGATGTTCTAGGACACACAATATTACCATACAGCACTTAAATTACTGACGTATAATCCAGGGCCAGATGGCTCTCTCTCAGGAGGCTAGTTTACAATATTCCTGTAACATACGCCAGTTTTATCAAAATAATTCGTGATTTGTTGAGCCTTAAATACCATTATACTATCCAAAAGCAGGTATTTAACAGCTATCAAATTGGTCAAGGCAATATTCTACCATGTTTCACCTAGACAGTGTAAGTAATATTTAAGACTGAAAACAAACCACTGACCTGTAGTGCTTTATTCTCCTACTGTTACGGAACAGTCATACATTAACAAGTGCAACTCATTAACCTTATGGACAGGTGATTCCATGTGTATAATGTATTAACTCGGATTTTGAAACAGAAAATCTACCTTCTAATAGTGTGAATGCTTATTATGAAAGCCAAATACTCATGTTTACTAACGGAAGACTACAGATACATTTAGAGTATCTAGATGTAATTTAAAAAGAAACCCAGGAAACTAAATAATTCATTAACAACTACTGAAGAAATCATCTGAGGTTATATCCCTTTGATGCATAAGGATCATACTTTGTAAACCTGTAAACATGTCCTTTGTTACCTAAGAAAGTCTTCCTCTTCCCAGGAAAGCAGACTCTGAAAGGCCATGAGCACTCCAGCAGGCCTCCTCCAGAGGATGACAATATGGCTAAATCCTATGATCACAAAAATGAGACCTGCTGAGAACATGAGTTCCAGACGGGGACTTTTATGGAGGACCTTGACTGACAAATGGTTTTTGGAAATTGTTTATTTTAAAATTACCTTCCCGACAAACCATGAAACACTTGGATGTTATTTTATGGTTTTTCACTGAAAACATACTACATTGTAAATGGAGTTTCCAAGTTAGACATAGAATTGATCAAAATCTAAGGATAGTATTATGTAAGGACAATATTAAAAATGGAGAAGAAAAAGTTTCATTTGGTGAGGTTAATCAAAAGGATCCATAACCATGTCATTTTGGACGGATAAAAAAGGTGGCAACCTTGTGCTTTTTTTCAGCTAAGGTACTTACCCAAACCTTAGGTTTATACAGGTGTCAGACTCCCACCTGGAAAGGGATAGTTTTCTGTATTACACCTACATTTATTTTAAATAACTGATGCCCAAGGCAACAGTTGTTTAAAAGAACTTAACAGTCAAATAATAACTACATAATTTAGTACATTAAAATAAAACTAGGACAGTAATAGTTCAATGTCTCAAAAATATACAGCTGGGGAAAATAACCACTGTACACAATTTGGAGGTTGTTAAAGTGACCACTTTGAAGGCTGAACAGTGCAAGACATGCTTTTCCAGTTACAAGCTCAAAACAGGAGTGCAAACGAAATTAAAGCTTTAAGTTGTAGGATAAGGAAAGCTTGAAATTAATCTTAAAAAGCTTCCCTCGGGTCATCCCCCGGAAACGAAATGATCAAAATGCTTTTTCATAATACAGTTTTCTTCATTAAACCTTCTTTCAATGGTAAAACTGCACCCCACGAGTTGGGTCCCCTACTCACACCACTGGTAATGACCACATTTGATCAGTGAACACAGTGTCGTGAGTAAGGAATAGTACTGGTTACCAGAGGGCCGATATCGATAAAGAGACTTGGAATTTGGGGTTCTGCCTTAGCCAGTGTACCTGAACCCTACAGAGAAGAGATAAAGCAATGGGCTTTAATATTCTCTCGTTCCTGTAAAGCTGGAGGACAAATGGACTAACAACCCCCGGCCCCGGCATGCTGTTGTGGTGGAAGATGTTAAGCACTTAAACTAAGACGCTGCTCTAAAACGTAAAGTATAGAGGTTCAAGATCAATGCAGTGCAAGAGCTTTTTAAGTGAGTTGACTAGGCAATGCATGCATCCATCCATGCAATGTAGGACATGGCCCCAAAAGAGAACTGAAAACGTGTATATAACAACTGGATACGTCCCTTGCCAGTAGTTTATAAAAATATATAGTCAATACTGTAGAGGCCCCTTCTACAGTCAATACTATGGAAGTCCGCTGTAGTTACCCATTACTTCAATACCAAAGAGCATTTACTACTTTTCAGACATTCCAGACAAAGGTCACTTATAACAAAAAGTCAACATTTTTTTCTTAAAACAAGATACTGTCCATTTAAAAAGTAGGTCTTTTCTTTCAAGTGAACAGGACATTTTCTGTATTCAACTTAACTTCTAGTCTGTCAAGACTGATTTAAGATCCTTATGTAATGTGCATATATGCAGAAACAAATAAACTTACTTTCAACATTATCTGCACAGAAAAAAAGTGAACTCCTCGAAACATGATAGAACAGGTCTGGTTAGTACAAATCTATTGCAAAGTAAAAAGATTCTGTGCATGAGTTCAACCAGGAGAAGCAGGAAGAGAATGTCCCGACCACGAGAGTTCAAGTTGAAGCTGTGTTCTGAGAGCCTAGAAGCCTAAGGGACGCCGTGTTGCTCACAGGATCCTGATATGCATAACTGCTTAAGCCACTAAGCCATGTCTTCCTCGGGAGCTAGAACCACATTCCAATTTACTTTCTATTCCGGAGGCGTTTAGATTTCCTAGGCGAGTCTCTGGCTTCTGCCGCCTTTTTTCGCTTCCGAGGAGACTCTTCATTCTGCCCAGACCCTGAGGAGGTTCCTACTGCACTTTCCATGACTTCTCGCAGTTTGCGTTCCAGCTCCGCCAACCGTGCGTTCTGTTCGCCTATGATCTGGGTCTGCTCGAGCAGTTTCTGGTCCTGGTCTTGCAGCTGTTTCTGCTGTTCTTGCACTTTGGTGCGAAGCTCAGAAATCTCCCGCCTGAGAACAGTCACACCAGCACCATTTGTCTTAACCTGTTGCTGGAGTTTGGTAACCTCTTGTCTTGAAGGGTTTTGCTTGGAGAAGAGCTGCATTGTTGTTAGGGCTGCCGAAGGTCCTGGAACTGTGGAGAAATAGTTAAAAATGGTCAATTAATCACTCAAAATGTCTCGCTACCAGTAATACTTCATTAATTAAATTTATTTTGAAACGGAATATCCTTATAATATCACTTCTAATAATTTCTTCTTTGCAATCTACTTGGTCTAATGGATTAATCAGACACCTTGTTTTAACTGTAAATGAGTTTGAATTCTGAAGCTGATGTTCATGTGGCAGTATGTGGATTGCCAGCAAATGGAGAACGGAATTTAATGGCATAAACTTGGATTTAAAATATTATAAAACATTTTTAGGACCTAATAAGAAAATATAAGCAGTAAAATTAGAATAAAATTATTTTCTACCTCATTGCACACAAGCAAACATAAACATTCGAGTTAGAAGTACAGACCTATCATGTTCTTAAGTTCTCTCTGCACTTAGTTATACGCAAAAGCTTCAACTCTGGCCAAATAATAGGAATGGCATCAAAAAAGTGGATCACATCCCACGTGACGATCATGAAGAATTTCTGACGTGGTACAGGAAGGCTTTGGAACTATTCTGTTTTAGGAACAGTCGAATGTAACATGGGCCTAAAAATCACTATTTTAAACTAATAACCTCCTTTTCCTTTAAACCTTATCTCCTGAAGGTTTTCTAAAAGGATCGGATGGATCAGTTCATACCCTGAACCCATCATGCTAATTTTCTCCTTGTACATCTAAATAACCAGAATTTTCCCTTGATTGATATATTCTTCCTTCTTTCTCTGCTTATCTTTATCCAACTTCCACTGATGCATCAAAGCTCAGAACAATTCTGTCCTGTGAAGTTTCAGTCAGACCAGCCAACAATGATCTTATCTCCCTTAAGATTCTGTCTCCTCTACTCCTTTGGCATTTACATGGACACTCCTTTCAAATATTTCTCTTGCCTATGATAATCTAACTTTGAGTCTGGCTATGTCTCACCTTTTGAAATAGAAAGACCCTTCAGAGCAGACACCATGTATTACACTTCTTTTTAGTCTCCACAGGACATAGCACAGTGCTGGGCGCATAATAGGTACTTAATAAATAACAGATACGTTAATGCTGAGATGCTGCAGGCTTTATTATTAACTTACAGAGTGCCACTCAGTGATCCCACTGAGTATTCCAGGCAGCTAACTAATCGGAACAAAACAAAACATTTTACTAAAATTCTTTTCCTGATTTAAAATATTTGCAAGGGTTGAAGACATTGAACAATTTAGTCTTTCAGTAGATAAGGGCACAAATCTCTAGGATCCAATACTTTTACAACATAGCTACCACAGAAGAACTGACAATGTTCACAATAGCCTTACACACCCTGTCTTTTAAAGTAGCAGCCAGACACTCTGGAGGCTGAAATAATTAACTGGATTTTCCCATGAAGAATTTTTGGGGTTTTATCTGGTATATTTAATTCTGCTTTAGGATAATGAATATTAACTAGTCATAAACATCAAAAAACATATATATAGCTTTTCACCCAACAAGTCTACTCTAATAAATTTACTGTAAGTCAATAGTAGTGGATACGTACAAAGATTTAGCTACAAGTCTGTTCTTCAGAGTGTTGTTTAAATACTGAAAAACTAGAGACAAATGTGCTTAACAGGAGTGGATAAGTTATATTAAGTTATGGTCTATAATCCAATCTGTCATTAAAGACAATGTTCTAGATACATATTTACAGACACGGAAAAGTTCAAGATATATGGTTAAGTGGGAAAAAAAAGCAAGCTACAAAACTATGCATGAATGTTGTTATAAAATGAACATATTATTAACAAACACGAGATACCTGGAGGAGAGCCCATGAGTCTTCCAGAGACATCTGATCCTGGTAATTTCCTCTTTAGAATGGGAACAATCTTTTCATCAAAGTATTCCATTGCCATGGAGGAAATATCCCTTAACTCTTGAAGTACTTCATGAGCTCGCTGAGGGGCTCTGGTAGAATTGACATATCTCAACACACGATAAATCTCATCAATCACCTAAAATAATGAGCTCTCATTAGCACTTTTAATTTTTTTTAAAGAAAATAGCGAATAGGGAGAGAAGTGGCTGCTTGTTTTGTAATTCCTGTAAAGACCTAGAGGGTGAGTTAACTGATGTACTGGCCACTGATAACATTACCCTCTGTACCGCACGGCTTTAAGGGGCTTGTTATAATACTTTACACATTTCATACTTCTACTCATTAAGCATCTTTTCTGTACCAGGTACTATGCTGGGGCTAAGGAATCAGGATAAATAAAATACAGCTCCTGCCCTGAAGGAGATCACAGCGTAATGGGGGAGACAGATGTATAAATATGTGATACAAAGAGGGCTATATAAAGAAACTAGAGGACTAAAGTAAGAAATTAAATCCTGAATTCGAGCAGGGGTAGGGGTAGGGGAATTACCCAAACCCACTTCCCTCTAGCCCGAATCTGTCTCCCACAGCCCAGGGACTCAGCCTGATGTCCTGCTCTTTAACACGCCACCACGGGCTCTATCTCTTGAAGTTCTCTTTCTCTGTACTTGCTATGGATTGAAATGAGGTCTCCTCAGACTCCGTTTTCTTGCTATCACCAAAGGGTGGCAAGAGATCCTTTTTCATTTTAATGGTAACTGCAATGGGGAAACGCATAACATACGTAGAGAAGAAACTAAGTTCTGACAATTAGGAACAGAGTTCTTAATTCTCTTGCTGGAATGGTAACTGAACATTCCGTAGGCATTTCTGCCCTCAGCTTTAATCCCTGTGAGGTTATCCTTAATACTTCCCACGGCTTCAGCATAGACCTAAAGATAATAATTCACATCTCTGAAGACCTCCAGTCTGGATGACATCTATTCCAATGGGCCTTCATTTCACAAGAATTGTGGGTTAATCAACCAAACCATTCCGTCCCCAAAATATCTCCATCACCTTGAATCCCACTCATTCCTCCTGCTGCATTTACCTAGCCAATACCCATCTCTGGAACAATTTTACAATCTTCTCTTCCCCTTTACTCAGGCTGCTGAGTACTACCAGACAAACATACGATCTTACAGAACAGTACCAGGACAAACCACAGTCCTTCACGCTTTCTAAACTCTCAGAGCAATGAGACGATCCTTCTCACGCCAGCACCACGGGCGCCTAATGAATGGCGCCTAATGAATGTCGGCAAAATTAAACAGTCAGGATGTGTCCCTATCGTGAATCCCAGAGGATTTCATGAAGAGGCCACGTTAGAGCCTGGAGAGATGAACAGGAATTGGCTCGGGCTGAGGTGCTGTACATGTGGGCCAGTGTGATGGGAGATGAGTTGAATTACATGGGGCATGCAGGTGATGCCAGCCAGCAGGCAGCTGGAGACACAGGCTAGGAGCTCAGGAGAGAAACTGCGCATGACGGTGAGGCCCAGGAGCCAATGGCGTAAGAGGGACTGACCGCCCAGCGAGAAGATGAGAACAAGACAGTCAGAGGTGGAATCCTGAGGCACTATGGTTAAGTGATATTTATTTTTGCCATTACTACTAGATTATGAACCCATTTTAGAAGAAAATAACATTTTTTCAATAATAACTTACTGAACTACCATGTTAGTAACAATTATATATATTAAAAAAAAAATTAAAAAAAGAGTACTTTCCCTTGGGCTTATAATTTAACTATATGAGCATATCCTAACTTGTAAGATAGACATTATTCAAGCATTTACTGCGTTCTTACTATGTATGTGTCACTTTTCAAAGCACTGGGGTAAAAACAGTGAATGTGGCTGGCAAGATTCTTATTCTTGTGAAGCTAAAGTAAACAAATAATAAAATAATCTAAAATAGTGCCAAGAGGAAAAAAGAGGAGGGGCCGGCCCCACGGCTTAGTGGTTAAGTGCGTGCGCTCCGCTACTGGTGGCCCGGCTTCGGATGCCGGGCGCGCACCGACCCACTGCTTGTCGGGCCATGCTGAGGCCGCGTCCCATATACAGCAACTAAGAAGGATGTGCAACTATGACATACAACTATCTACTGGGGCTTTGGGGAGAAAAAGGGAAAAAAAGGAGGAGGACTGGCAACAGATGTTAGCTCAGGGCTGATCTTCCTCACAAAAAAAAAAAAAAAGAAAAAAGAGGAAACTGTGATAGTTACTATTGGAGGGACAGGGAATAACTTTAGACAAGGTGGTCGGGAAAGGCTTCTTGGACATAATTAAGCTAAGACTGAATGATGAGGAGGAAACAGTCACTTGAAGATCTGGGGAGAAGAGCATTTCAGGCAGTAATAATGGCAATGGCTCCAAGTTCAGAGTCAGCTTGGCTTGTTTAAGGAGTTCAAGGGCTAGAAATATGCTATCTATAGCTATATCTCCAAGTGGGAAATATTTATGGAAGCTCAAAGCTTTGAAAAAAATTATGTAATATTTATACACAATTAAGAAATGATTAATAAAAATTAAAAATATAAGCCAAAGTAGGAATATAGTATTTTTTCTTAAAAGGTCCTTCATACTGACTGGATTCTATGCACTAGTGCTAGGATATTAATTGATCCATGGTAGTTTTGTGTTTATCAAAGTTTTACTGTATATTATAAATAAGAAAAGCACTGCAGGGCTCCAGTATTATTTTATGTTGTCCTCAAGGCTAGCATGTTGCATCTTTGAGAACAAAGCAACTATTAGCTCTTTAAACTAAATCAAACCCTCTCTCCCTTTTTAGCCCCAGGGCTTTTGCACATTATGGTCCCTTTTCTGGAACATTCTCCCTGCATAGCTCCCCTACCTTCTCCAACCCCAAATTCCTTACTCTTACTTCAGGTCTCAGTAACATTTCATTTTCTCAGAGTGGTCTTTTCTGATCCCCCTTCCAGTTTAAATCATGTTCATAACTTCATCGAATCCTTTATTTTCTCTTCAGAATACACACTACAAGTTGCAAGTATATCTTTCTGTTAATTTCTGTCTTCTCCATGATATAGTAGGCTCACTGAGAGAAGAGGTCATAAGTCGTTTCACTGTCAGATCCCCAAAGCCTTAGCAGTGTCCGGCACATAGCAGATACTCAATAAATGTTTGTTAAATGAATATGATATAAGGATGGTCAAATGTTATACTGACATATCTAAATAAAACTGTTTAGGGGCAAGCCATAGGGTTAAATTCAATACAAGATTATGATTTTTAGAGGGTAGATTTTGTTTTGAACATAAAGGTCACAGTTAATGGAATTTCTATTGAAAGGGATTTTTAAAAATACCTAATACTTGAAAGAGTACTTATATGTTTAATGTAATATCCACAGCTTTATTAATGGATCTATTTATATTATGTTTATGTACATAAATACTGGTAGACAGAAGACTATTTACAGTTTGTTTGAGCTAGACCAGAAACGACTGTTGTCATGATTCAAGCATGAATAAGACACAGATCCCATTCAGTGCAAGACAACTCAGCGCAAGACCCACAAACAGAAAAGCAGAGCTCAACGGTAATAAGTTCAATGTATAAGCAAAGTGCCGTGTGAAAAAAAGAAAGTAGAGAGACAAGATCTGTTTGAGAGAATCAGGTAGACCTAATGAAGGACTTGGCAATGAGAAATAAGTAGAATTTCAATGGGTAAGGAAAGTTAGAGCAGGAGGAGGGCACACCTGGCTAAAGAGACAGTCGAGCGGAGTGGATAGATGATGGAGATGGACAGGTGACAGCATAGGAAATCAACATTTATGTAGTGCTATTACATACCACGCATTTATTCTAGGTTTTGTTTTTTTTTGAGGAAGACTGACCCTGGGCTAACATCCATGCCCATCTTCCTCTACTTTATATGGGACGCCACCACAGCAACGCTTGACAAGCAGTGCGTCGGTGCGCGCCCGGGATCCGAACCTGCAAACCCTGGGCTGCCAAGGTGGAGCGCGTGCACTTATCCACTGCGCCACTGGGCCAGCCCCTATTCTAGGTTTTTAAAAAACATACATTATGCAATTAATCCTCTTCCATAACCCTTATTCTTCAGAATGAATTGCCTATCAAAATACCCCACAGGGAATACTAATTGATACTAAATTACATCCATAAACTAATTTGTGAAGTATTCTTATCTTCACTGTTATTTAGTCTTTTAAACATAGTGTAAAAGCAAGATATCTCTTTCCATTTGCTCTGGTCTTCCACTGGGGAAAGTAATGTCTTCAAATCTTACTATCTAGGGATTAGTCAAGTGGGAAAATCCATGTTTTCAATAAAATTAAAAATATTCTCTTTCCTCTGTCCAAAAGTTACAAGCAAAGGACAAGATGAAGGAGAAAAAGGTCATGGGGTGTTAGAACCACACTGCTTCTACCATTCAGAGTTATCACTGGCTGCAGTGGCTTTAGAGGCACATATTAAGAAAGCATAGTATTTGCTCAATTTTCAAAATATTTCATATTCTGAGTAGGTTTAATGACTTTCTGAAAATTACTTTAGCAGCAAGAATGTATCGGTATGAGTTTTGAGTCCAGTGGAAAGATCATAGGCCTTAGCCTGGTCAATTTTAATGGCTGTTTCTACAACTTTTAAATAATATGCCACATGCCGAATCCTACCCGGGCTTGAGATAATACAACAATAGTTATGAAAAATATTTTTAAGTTTTAAAAAAAGTATGGTACAAACAAATGTGAACCACCATCACATTTCTAACACATGGAGTTCACTCTAGAGAGAATTTCTATTTTGTTTAACCTACTGTTTAGCAAATAAAGCTCCTGTTAGAATACTGAACCTCATGTTCTCATCTTCCATCTTTGTCTTTTTGTTCTACGTGAGATTTCCTTCGCTTTCCCTTCCACCTCTTTTAATTTAAAAATTAAAGGATATTCCTCAAAATAAGTGACCTATGCTCTTCAAAAATGTAAAGATCAACAAATACAAAGAAAGCATCGGGAACTATTCCACATTAAGGAAGATTAAAAAGTCCATTGATAATCCCAGATTGGATTCTGGACTAGTTAGGAAGAGTATATTATTGGGATAAGTGATGAAATTTGCATATGGATTGTCGATTAGTTAATGCATTGTTATCAATGTTAAATTTCCTGATTTTGATATCTGTACTGTGGTTAAGAGAATGTCCTAGTTCTTAGGGAATACACTGAAATATTTAAGAATAAAGGGTCAGAACATCTCCAACTTATTTTCAAATGTTTCAGAAAAAAATAAAATGCACATATACAGAATAAAAGGAAACGGGACAAAAGTAAATAATTGCTGGACTGGGATAAAAAACATATGGGCGTTCCTTGTACTATTCTTGCAATTTGTGTGTAAATATGAAATTGCATCAAGATAAGAAGCCCCCTCACCCCAAAAAATGCAACACCACCAGTTTTTTCCCCTCAAAATGTTAAAAGCAAACCAACACCACCTAATATATAGATTTTAAGTTTGTTCATGGAAATCTAGCTTCATGACTGTGTACAACCATTTACACTGCGAAAACCATGACTTTTGGGGACCACTGTGTTTCAATAAGCACAAAAGGGTGACCAGGGTGACCGGTAACGATTAGAAGCAGGGACTATCCACGTCTTTTCTTCATTATTATTTCTCCCAGGATGGCTGGTTGGCCTCTGCTCACGTGTGCTTCAATACGTGTGAATTGCTGATAATGACCATGAACTGACTGAAAAGTCTGACTTCTATACGTCATAAGATTCGAGAAACGTATACAGGAGCAAGCCAACAATCTATAACCTCTTAGTTCTGAGACATGAGTGGAGTATCAATATAGCGGTCAAAGTGGGCAACTATGGCCCCATCTGACCTGTGCCTGTTTTCGTAAATAAGGTTTTATTGGAACACAAGCACACCCATTCATTTACCACATGTTGTCCATGGCTGTTTCTCAGAGTTGAGGAGTTGTGACAGAGCCCATGTCACCCGCAAAGCCAAAAATATTTACTACTTGGCTCTTTACAGAAAATGTTTGCTGATCCCTGCCATAGATAATAGTGCAAACTCCCAACCAGTCCGAATTCTTTAGACAGACTTGCTTTTACTGCCCTCGTTATCAGTATGGTCTCCCCGTCAAGAGACCTCATTTTAAACCCCTCCAGTGAGTAAGACCTAGGTTTTTGCTAGTAGAAGGGCAATGATGTAGCTTGTCTGGAGTTGGAGGGGGATCTTTAGGTTTAAATCATTCTTAAATATAGACTCTCAACCAAGCCTCCCGTCTTAGCCCCACTTTCAGAGGTGCTTGGAGGTTTCAACTCTAGAGCTTTCTAGAGGTTCAGTTGTATAGACTGGGTGCCTCCCAGCTTTCCCCACTGCCAGTTTAGGATTTAACTTTCTCAGTTCTGCTAAGTCAGTTACCACTCGTTCATCTATGTTCCAGCTTTCAAAATTTTGTTGTTGCTGTCTCCTCTCCCGATCCCATTCTCATGGATCTTTTTTTCCTTTTTAAAATTAGCACATTTACTGTATAGGTGGAGTTTTGGGAGGAATTAGAGGTAAACATGTATTCAATTTGTCATCTTTAACCTACCATTTAATTTTAAGAGTAAATTTGATTGCTCTTTCAGAGAATAATTTAAAAAATTTTTTTTCCCCAACTATTAAAGGCCCAAAATTCTGGTATATACCAGGCAATCTAATTTAAACTATGATGCTGATATTAACCAGATTCACTTAAGTAACTTGTGAAAAGTAATTTAGGAAATGAAATGCTTACTGTAGACCTGAATTTTAACAAAATGGATATATTCTATACAAAACCACAAAAAAGTATAAAAGCTCCTAAAATTTTAAGTATAACACAGGAGCAAGATCTTGGGGAAAACAAGATAACCTACTGTAGAAACCATGTACCAGATCAAGATTATATGTTAAATTGAAAGAAAATTATTTTATAGGATGTCCTCACTTAACCATGGAAATTAAATGCCACATCCTTATGTTCTGAAAGTAGAATGTGAAAAGTTAAAGGATGAGAAGCACAAAAAGTGAGCAATCATAAAACAACCCAAATACTGCAAACTGTGTTAAGTTAGCAGTTTAGTTTTAGGCTAAGTAAGCTAAAAAGTACCAGCTACATAAAAATAAAAAGTAACATTCTGAGCATACAGAGTGTTGCTTTAGGCAAAATATAAGCTATAAAGATGGCACTTCTAAGAAACAAAATAATCCAAGTTGGGGGCTGGCCCAGTGGCATAGTGGGTTAGGCTTGCGTGCTCCACTTCGGCGGCCCGGAGTTTGTGGGTTCAGATCCTGGGAGCAAACCTACGCACCGCTCTCCACATGCTGTGGAGGCATCCCACATACAAAATAGAGGAAGACTGGCACAGATGTTAGCTTAGGGACAATCTTCCTTAAGCAAAAAGAGGAGGATTGGCAACAGATGTTAGCTCAGGGCCAATCTTCCTCACCAAAAAGACAAACAAAATAAACAAGCTGAATTAAGTGTGATAATAAAAACAAAAATTATTTCTGTTTTTTCAGGGTTGTTTTCCCAGTCAAGTTCAGGTTTGTAGGAGAAAAAGAACTTAGGATCAATTCTTGTGAAGAAATGGGTACTATTAAGGAAAAATGGAAGAAAACAATAAAGAAAATTGAGAAATCAGAAGACTTGAGAAATGTAGCTTTTGTCAAATCACTTAAGGTCTCTAGGCCTCAGTTTTCTTATCAATGAAATAGGAATAATAATACTTGTTCTGTCTACCTCACAGGCTGTGATGGAAAGGAAATGAGATAGTGTATATGAAAATGCTCTGAGAATTAGAAAGTTATTTCATAAATATAAGATGAGAGTAATAACAAGAGGAAGGGATACGCAGACATCTGTATTATAAAGGAAAGGTAGGGTAGGTACAAAATTCTTTTCCAACTGCTCTCCTATTGCAGGCAAGGTAAAGGCTCCACTTAAGGAGCTGTCCAGAGCAAAGGCCCTAGGGGACCTACTGCATCTTGAAAACTGAAGACATTCTCCATTACTGCCACCTTGGTTTTGTTCTTTTATTTTGGTACTAGAAATTAAAGTGAAAAGTCAACAAGTGGTTTCCAAAATAAGAGCAAGACTCAGATGGATTTGACCTCATTTGTTTAGACAGTAAAGATCATCATTCCAATCACGTGATCCTGATCAACTAGAACAAAGGCTGGTGACTTCTGTAAAGGCCAGACACTAAACGTCTTGGGCTTTGCAGGCCACACGGACTCTGCTGCAAACTTCTCAACTCCTGTTAGTAACAACTGACTGAACTGTCTCTGGGGTTATGAAAACTGTAAGATGTTTCTTAAATATTCATATTCTTAACAACGAGATAGGCACTAAAAACAATGAGGCTATAGGGGACAATCTTTATTAGTTCCATGAACTTCTCAGGAAAACAAGAATTCAGGCCTATAAATCAGACCTGGATAAATCTGGCATAGAAATCAGAATCTAAAGTTTCTAACTGCTCACCCTTTTATAGTTAGTACCCTACAAAAGCATTTGTAGCTAATATGAAGAAAGTGAGATATACCAAAGAATATTTCAAATAAGAAACAGGATTCCTGGGCCGGCCCTGTGGCTTGGTGGTTAAGTGCGCGCGCTGCAATGCTGGTGGCCCGGGTTCGGATCCCGGGTGCGCATCGAGGCACC